CGGAAGAGCCCTGAAGAGACTGGAGGAGCCTGGGGAAGAGTTAATCCCACACCTGCAACAACCGCAACACCTTGGGTTGATGTTCCTCCAAAACCCAAGCAGAACCGCAAAATATTTCAGAAAAAAAAAGTGGTTTTCCTATTTTCTGATCCATTTTCCATCAGAAACGAGTTTGATGGAAAATTGTCACGCAACAGGTACCTGACCAGCCGTGCGTGCCCCACTCCCGGGCTCCCTCGGCTTCTGTTTACAAGAACGTCCCCTCTTGGGTCACTGCACTGGTAAGCAAGGCAGTGACAAGACAAGCAATGACCTGGTGTTGACATGAGGTTTTGCCAGGACAGTGACATCTTCTTCCATCGCATGCCACCAAAAGGGAGAACCGAGCAAAAAGTGACTCAGCCACGCAGGGAGGGGACAGCCGCTATCTCCCCCGGCACGCCTGTGGGGTTTCGCAATGCTTCCAGTGCCCCGTGTTAGATCTTTGAGAACTGTGTTACAACACGTCGGGGCCAGGTATGTGCTTGTCTGGGAGAAACCAGTGCTTCCATGTCACTGACCGCCCGGGGAGCAGTTGGGGGACGCGCAGGAGGTGACCCCTGGGAATGTAGGAAGGGCCGTGCCTATATAGAGCGCAAGGAAGTGCAGAGGCAGCAGGTTTCGGCTCCTTTCTGCTCACTGCTCAGTTGTGATTTTCTCCCTGGAGGGGGAATCTCTTAATTTTTTTCCTGCTCGGCAGCACGGGGCGAGGATGGATGCTGGATCAGCCGGGTTGCTTGTTGTCCTTCTCCTCCTCTCCACCCTGTGGTTCCTGGTCTGGAGAAGCGATAAGAAGAGAAGCCAGCTGCCTCTGGGACCGGCCCCGTGGCCCATTCTGGGCAACCTATGCCAAAAGGACATCCTGCCCCTCTACAGGACCTACGAGAAGGTAAGAGAGGAGCTGGTGGTGCTGGACCTGGTCCCAGCCCCGGCAGGGCAGCAGGAGAGAAAGCGTGAATATTCCGTGCCAAAATAAAAGGGGAATTGTGCAGGTGACTCTTTTCCCACCTTTCTTTCCTCTTTTTCCCTCCCTTTTCTCTTGCTTTGCCAGAATTGCCTAAATCCCTGCTACTGGGAGCGTAATCAATACTGTTATTGAAGTCTTTCTTCTCCTGTAAGGGACCCACGGTGCTGACACTAATCCCTCTCCGGGCTGTGGCACTGCCACCATACAGAGCTGCTTCCCAGAGACGACGCTTTGAACCCCCAAAGTAGCAGTGGGATCAGAAACGCTCTGGGGACAGGGCTGGGGTGGGAGCGGGGTGAGGACCCCGGCTTCGAGGGCGGCGCTTCCCCTCCCTGCTCATGCATTCGCCAGCATTGTGGCCATGAGACCTACTTTAAAATTAAATTAGTGACTGGGGTGCGGGACCCTCGTTCACCGCAGCTTTCCCGTCCTCCCCCAGCTGAGCAGCACATACGGCCCCATCTTCACCGTCTGGCTGGGGCTGAAGCCGGTGGTGGTGCTCTGTGGGTACAAGGTGGTGAAGGATGCTCTGGTGGGCCACTCCGAGGAGTTTGGAGGGAGACCTGAGATACCCCTCCTGGTGCAGCTATCGAAAGACTACGGTAGGCATCTGCATTTCTTCTAGGCACTTTATTGCTCTTTGGGTGAGCAGGAAGTCCCTGACTGCAGCTGGCCATGCTCAAGTCTAGTGAAGGACTCAACACCCAAGACCTCAAATACTCATTTCCCACTCTGCAGGTCCCTCCATCTATTAAGCCTCTTGTCCGAGGACAACATTAATTCCAGTTAGCCAGTTCCAGCTTTGTTTTGAGTTTCTGTAGAGATCCTCAGCCTTTCAAGGACACTGTGCACACACCAGGGTTGTCTTCTGGCTCAGTGCCCTGCTGCTCCTCAGCTGGGCTCAGAGCAGGGTCCCCCGTTCCCGGGGAGGAGTGGCGGGGCAGGCAGGTGAGTGATCTCCCCTGCCTCCCTCCAGGTTTTGTCTCTAACAATGAGGAGAAGTGGCGGGAGCTGCGGAGGTTCACACTCAGCACCCTGCGGGACTTCGGGATGGGGAAGAGCTCCATGTCGCAGCGGGTGCAGCAGGAGGCCCAGCACCTGGTGGAGCTGCTCGCAAAACTCAAAGGTGACGTGAATCCTGTCCACCCTGTTCCCCGGGGCAGGTGGAGGACACACAACAGCCTCATGGGACACGCGTGGTTTCTGGAGCTTTTTGCAACGGCTGGTGTGGATGATCCTTATAGAGAGAGGGCTTAGACCTAGCCCCATCCCACCCAAAGAAGGCAGAAGGGATGTGGTACGGTCATGGCTGAAAGGCCAGGGTGGAACATCCCGCTCCTGAATTGGTGCACGGGGTGGGGGACCACCGAGGACCATTTCACGCCAAAAGAACAGAAATAGGAAACTAAACCGCATGGTATAGAGAATGCACAAATAAGATACTGCCCTGGTGACAGGGGGCTTATCAGGATGATGTCCTCCTCTCCAACAAAACTGAGCTGCTGCCAGTGCCACCACCTCTTCTGGAGCTTCCTGAATATAAGAGGAGATGGAGGCTCAGTTGTATGCTGGCCCCTCTGCCTCCGATGTGCGGTGCTGGCGAGGGGCTGGTCACCACAGGGAGATGCTCTGCAGCCCCCAGATCCCCAGGACACATCAGTGGGAGCCCAAAGCACCTGGAGGTTCCTCTGCTTTCCTCAGTCCCAAGCACTAGGGAGGGCTTTAGGAGCAGGGAGGTAGATTTAGGAGCCCACAGCTCAGGAGGGCTTTTTGCTTCGGCTGTTAGACCTGGCGAATTCAACCAGGGCTCAGAGCTCAAAGGAAGGGGGAGGGAGGGTGTTTCCTCTGCTCAAGCAGATAAATAACTGTTGAGTTTTTGACGCCTTTCTTGCCTCTTCTGTGGCTGCAGGAAATGCCTTCGAGCCAATGACCATGTTCAGACATGCAGTTGCCAACGTGATCTGCTCCGTTGTCTTCGGGAGCCGTTACAGCTACAGCGACACGGCCTTTCTGGAGCTACTGAACGTGATCGGGAATTACATCAGCTTCTTCCTCTCCCCCATAGCCGTGGTAGGTGCCCTTGCTGTGCTCAGCGCCCTCATGTCTGACGCGCTCGGGTGGTCGAGGGATGCTCCTTGGCTTTGGGTCACTCTTTGGCTTTGATGGGACAGCATGGCTTTGAGGGAAGGTGCGGGAGGCTCCATCCAGGCACCTGAGCCCTCCTGTGCCTCCTCCATCCGCAGGTCTACAACACCTTCCCCAACATCATGCACCATCTCCCGGGGCCACACAAGAAAGCCTTGGCCGAGTGCGAGAAGCTGAAGAACTACATCCGAGAAAGAATCGAGCTTCACAAGCTGACACTGGATCCCAGCTGCCCCCGGGACTACATCGACTGTTTCCTTATGAAGGCAGAGAAGGTAGAGGTGGTACAAAGCAGGGCGAGGGCTGCCCTCCAGACCTGGCTGCAGCCTGGAAAATCACCCAGACGATACTGAATCCCCTCCCCACTGCATCCTTGCAGGAGAAGAACAGCCCGGAGAACATGTACAGCAACGAAGACTTGGTTATGTCAGTATTCAACCTCTTTGGTGCGGGGACAGTGACCACTAGCAACACCCTGCTCTTCTTCCTCTTGATCCTGGCAAAACACCCCCATATTCAAGGTAAGGGCAGCAAAATGCGACTGCTCCCTGTGCCTGAGGAGGTCACGGTGCTGCAAAGGTGCAGACAGAGAGTCCCAGCCCTGGAGGGTCCCGTTTGAGGGGAGACCAAAATCCTCCCGCATGGGTCACGCAAGGGTGAGCACCATTAGACACAGATACACACAGGCCAGAGGGAGCCGGGTACCTGCTCCCTTCTCCCCATCCCTGCCTGTGCAAATGGCCCCGGACTGGCCCGTGAGAGATGCCTTGAACCTGCCTGATCCAGGGAGGTATGCAGACAGAGACCCTATTTCTGGTCTCTACGAGGGGTTATGCCAGGGGGTTGCTCCCTCTCTGCTAGGTCGTCCTTTGGCTCTAGGATAGGTGCCCATGGAGGGCAGTGAGAAATCATGGGGGTGGCTCTGCACAGCAGGCACCACAGCTCCATGCCCGCCTTCTCCCCAGCCAAGGTCCAAGAGGAGATCGATGCGGTGGTGGGCACCGGCCGTGCTCCCAGCATGGACGACAAGCTGAGGATGCCGTACACCAACGCGGTGATCCACGAGCTGCAGCGCGTCCACAAGACCCGCATTGAGAACTTCCCGCGGATGACGACACGAGACATTGTGTTCAGGGGCCACACCATCCCCAAGGTAGATGTCGTGGCCTTGGACTCTCTGTGTCCCCGAGGGGAGGGGTGGCAAGGGGGCTTGAATGAAATTCGCCTTTGCCCCTGGACTGCTTGTTCACTCCTGAAGGTCCCAGGTCTTTCCCAATCCTCGGTGGGAGGAGACGATGACAACCTTTTAGTGGAGGAGAGAGAGGTGAACGCTGCTGCCAGTTCTGCCCATACACCTGTGTCCCTTGCCTGTCCTGGGAAACACCTCTTGCCACCAGGGAGATGTGCAGGGCTGATGGGGCCGGGAGCCTGAGCTGGCCGTGGCGCGGGGCCAAGCCAGCCCCCAACTCCTCGGCAGATCCGGGGATGGCTGCCGGTCCGGGTTGACTGCAAGCATTTTGTACGACACCCACCTTGAAGGAACACCTCCCTCCTTTGGACTTTGTGCAGCGAGAGGGGTTTTAACATAAATCAATGGGAATAACTCGGTAATTTCTGTCTTATGAGCTGCACAGAGACCGGCAGGACCATGGGGACAGCGGAGCCCCACGTTAGTTGTCCCTGCCTGGCACAGAGCCATCACTCCAGGCTGCCTCCCCACGGGCGTCTGGGTGGGCATCAGGGTGTGCACCCAGCCTCCCCCCGTGCCCCCCAGATGCTCCTCACTTGCTCATTCAGCTCAGCAGAGCCCTATGTCCTGACACTGATGTCCCTCCTTGCTCCCCTGCCCCATCCCTCTCCTGCAGGACACAGCTGTTATTCCGGTACTTTCTTCCGTGCATACGGATCCAACTCAGTGGGAGAACCCCAAAGAAGTCAACCCAGGCCACTTCTTGGATGAGAAGGGCGAGTTCAGGAAGCGTGAAGCCTTCATGGCTTTCTCGGCAGGTCAGTGCTCAGCCCTGCATGCCGCCTTTGCCAGCACCCTGCCTGCAGTGGCTCCGCTCCAGGGACCGGCAGCATGAATATCAGTTGGCACCAAAGTTATACCCTTAATATGAGCTTTCTCGCTATTTCTTTATGCCCTTTGTTCCTCAAATGCTGGATGAGGTCATCAGCCCAGTGCTGACCCTCCCCTTTCTGTGTCCCCAGGGAAGCGTATGTGCCCAGGAGAAGCACTGGCTCGCATCGAGCTCTTCCTTTTCCTCACCACGCTGCTGCAGAGCTTCACCTTCCAGCTCGCTATCGAGTACAAGGAGACGGATTTATTATCCCTATGGCTCGAGATAGAGAGGAGGGCGATACCGGGCAAGTTCTTTGCTATTCGGCGCCCGGTGTCATCTTAAGCAGAGAGCAGTGGGGAGGAAGAAGGGGTCTTCCAGGTGCCTTAACTTCTTCCAAAATCAGAGCAAGTCATGAAACCATGAGCACTACAGCAGCAACCACCAAGCAGGAGGATCGCTTCAAGCTTCTCCTGGGAGATGTGCCACGCAGCTCTGCCACCAGCTCCATGGGCATCCTGGCTCCCAACCCTTCCCCTCCACATCCCAGTAACACAAGGAAGACAGCACTGGTTTTCTTCCCCCCATATCTATTGGCTCTGGTTGAACCTCTAGCTCCTTGTGGCCGGGCTGCCTGTGGCTCCCCGGGCTCAGCTGGGTGCTCTCTCATTTTGGTGAGAGGCTCTGCAATAAAAATAACTATCATAACTGGATGCTGGTGTTTATAAGGACACTTGCGGTGCCTCCTGATGTAAGGGTGATGATGCTCAGGCTTCCTTGCCCTTCACAGGTGGCGTGTGAGCCAGCCGTGACAACCAAGGTGACCGGTTGGGGGTACTTACTACTTCTGTTTCCCTGCTTTGCCTGCTCTCTGTACCCTCCCGCATTACGCAAAGTCCATGACGCTGCAAATTGCGCCCGCTCTCATCCCTACGTCCTAGTGCACAGGGATGAAACCCTTGTGAACACCCTTTAGGCCATCAAAACATTAAAAAATGATGCACAAGGGGGAAATGTGCTCCAGGAGAGGGCTGCCGTGCTTGGGAAGCAAGAAGTATTTTGCCACCAAAGTCACTGCTTCCTTCTCATGGTGCTCAATACGTCTTCTGTGCTTGCGCTGCCTTAACCACCCCTGCACGAAGAGGGAATTACTTGCTAGCCCCCAGGCATGCTCCAGCTTTTATTCCAAAACATTGGGACTTTAAAGAAAAGGGTTTTTTCTTTAAATGCCTGTGCAAGGGAAAAATGACCTGGATACATGCCCACCCTGCCCAGCCTCAGCGATGGCCTGGGCTCCTCCTTCCACCGGTGGGCAGCTGAATGTGTCTCCAGGCCTTGGAAAACCAGTATGTGTCCCACTGTGTCCAGTTCTTCCCAGTGCAAACCTCCCAGATAGAGGACTTCAGCTCCATGTTTGTTCCCAGGGTGTCTTCGTCCTTCCCAGGTTTCTGTGTGTCCCAGGACAGATTGAGCCAGGAAAACATTCAGTTTGTTTTAGCTGATTTGCCTCCGTGGCTTTAATCTTCAAATGAATCTTATGCATCTCAGGAATTTATTGCTTGCTTCAAAACACTAATCCCCACGGCTCTGACCATGGGGAGGGCTCCGCAGGCAGGCAGGCAGGCAGGCAGGCAGGCAGG